AATGTATTCTACCATAAGGCAGAAGAAGCTTTTTGCTAAATCATTGCGTCTCTCTGGTTGTTAAAAGTTTTCTAGAATGACACTACTTTTTCTCAGCGGCTCAACTGGAACTTATACTTGTGTAGTTTGAGGAATCTTACTAGGTTAAACAAATATATGGCAAATAATAAAGATGTCTACAAGCAGGTCCCTGAGTGTAACCATTTTTTAAAAAATAATTTATCCACTAATTGAGGTTATAGGAAAATTACTTAAATTGAAACTTTGTCTCCTAATAAACTGTCAAATATTTGCCATAAAAGGCTGACTTTATGAAGTTGAAACATTCATTAGTGAGTGTTTAAGTGTATTCTACATAATACAATTTATATAACAGTAAAATATTTATATCAAACTGGCCCATTAGAGGAAATTCTCTTGCCTGGTGTCCTCTGATACAAGTTTAATGCTGACCAACAAACATGACCTGTAGGTTTTCTGTGGGCAAGTCTCTGTACCTTATTTCTCAAGCCATAGCTCACACTGAATTATTTACAGCTAAACATCTTTTTCCTTTGTTTTCCTTCTTTTTAAGTATGGACTAAGATCTAGATAGTTGATTTTGAAGTTATAAAATGTTAAATAGAAATTTTAAATACTAAGCAAGTTCAACCTGCTCTACATCAGCTCTAATTCCAGAATTCAACTTAAAAAGTTGTGTTACAAGAAACATTACCTACTTACATTTTCAAAATCATTAACTTTTGCTTCCTTGGGTTATTAAACTTCGCTCATATTCAGCCAAAAAAAGAGGGAGATGCACTTAAGGCACATTTGCAAGTGCCATTTTGACCAATCTTTTCACTAACCTAAGTGGTTTGTTTTTAAGTCTTGCCTTCCATTTTCTTGTTAACACCTGACTCCACCTTATTTCTTTACTATAGTAATCAACTAAAAGACTTAGAACAACATTTGATTTTTAAACGAATCGAATAGTATGGTAAATAGATTCCATATTTCTACAGATCCCATTGCCATTTAGTTTTTTTTTTTTAATTCTTCTTGAGGGAAAAAATAGAAATATATGTAGTATTAATTTGGGTTACTTTTTACAAGTTAATTTCAATCTCACCAGATATGTATTAAAAATATCCTATCTTCCCATCTATCAGAAGTAAGGTCCTTCCTTCTCATTCACAATTAAATCTAACACATCCTCGTTAAAAGTAGGAGTAAAAAGGAAGGGCAGGAATTTCAGACATATTAGGAATACTGATTAACTGTATTCATTTTGGGTATGGCAATTCACTGAGTGAACAGAGCACTGTTGGGTGAATGGTAGCAGAAGCATATTGTTCAAGTTAAAGCCCTTTCAAGGACAGATGCCAAGGTGAGCAATACTCCTGGTTTCTCAGCAACGGAAAAGGATTTGTGAATGATTGTGAAAGATTTGCACCACCTCCTAGCTGCGCTTAGGGGCTGCTCTGAAAACAGCTAAGCACAGCTTGGGAGATTCATGTCACATCCTGTAGCCCCGTGTAAGAAGTGGTGAAATACAAACACACACACCACTACCACAACCACCACCACCACCACCACCACCACCACCACCACCACCACCACCACCAGCACCACCAGCACCACCACAACCAGAAAAGCCCTGCGGAGAAGCTGTCAGGCAGGCGGGCTCGCCTGGGAAGGCACAGTCAGCATCCTTGCTTAGCCCAAGCGAGAGGCTCACCTCCACCTCCAAGCTAGAGCTCCCAGGTCTTTATCCTTCTGGGCGTTTCCTTGCAAAGTAGAGGGACCTATGCTGGCCTTACCTCTGGGGCTGCTTTCTTGCAAGTACGGTGGGGCGGTGGGAGTGACATTTCCGGAGTGGGATGCTGACAGCAGAGGCGAGCGTTCGTCCACCCCATCAGCAGCCATGACTGCGGCAGCGGAGGGGCCTGGGGAGGCCGAGCCGGGGTTGCAGCCTCGGCAGAGTGGTGGCTAGTGCTGCTGCCTCTGCTGCCGCTGCTGCTGCTGCTGTTACTGCTGCTACCGCCTCCGGGAGGGCCCAGGATGTGTCACAAGGCAGGAGGCAGGGGGAGGGGAGGGTGCAGGACCGAGAGGCGGGGGAAGGGAAGCGCGCTGGGAGGCATGGCTGGGGGAGGGGAGGGGAGGGAGAAAGAAAGAGCCCGCAGAGTGGGAGGAGCGGGAGTGGAGGAGCTGGAGCCCAGCCAGCCAGAGAAAAGGGGAACAAATTAGGACCAACTGGGAAACGCGAGGCAGGGAAGATGCCATGTAACTGAAAGGGGGTCGAGAGTAAATGGGATGGAGGAGGACAAGTCCTTTTCTCTAGGAAAGACGGATAAAAAGCAGCCTGAAAGGGGCTAGGAAAGAGGAAAGGCCTGTGACTTGATTACAAGAAAACTGGAGCAAAAGCAGATTATCAAGTTTATCTCCCCTAGGGAGGAGGAGGGACTGACTCTTTGCTGTCGAACTTTGCAGCAGTTATATAAAGAAAGCTTCTTCCTGGGGTTATCAATTTCTTCTATAGGGGTTTTGTGTAGGAAATCAGTTTTCAACATCTGTTATCTAAAAGAAAGTAGATCTTTGCGGAAGTGTCACCATTGCCTACTTTTCCTGATTGATTTTTTTTTAATAACAGGAATGTTGGCCTGACCGGTTTGGAACTCTGGTAACCGTACCTTTTTGGAACTATGCAGTGTGTTGCCTTTTACAAGTTTCATTTTACAAAATAGGTTGTCATCTTAGTTTTGGTTTTGTAGCTTATTGTCCCTGACACATATAAAATAAGTAGGTCTATGAATAACGTCAAACAACGAAAAACAAATTTCTTGAGATAAAAGTTTTAAAATAATTGTTTACTTGTAAAACACAGTTAAAGCAAACAAAAAACCCTAAGCTCTGACAAAGATTCTTTGCTTGGTCAAACAAGTAAGGTTTCTGAATCTTCTACTGGGCCCATCTGCACTTCCTTATAAAATCCAGTTTTAGCAAAGAACCCTACTAACTTAATTTAGCAAAAAGCCCCATTCTCAATATTGATATTTGATCAGGTTCCTCATCCTCCAGCATCCCCCATGTGAGACCTGAACTCCTGTCTTCAGCAAGAATCCTTTTTGCTTGGTTTAGTCAGAATCCCCCTTATCCTTGATGTTTCCTTGGTAATTTTCCATCTACTGCCCCTGTCCTACATGCTCCTTGGCTATAAATTCACACTTGTCCACGCTGTATTCAGAACTGAGCCTAATCTCTTCTTCAACATGGCAAGACCCTGCTGCCATGGTCCCTATACCTATCAGTATAGCCCTAAATACATTCTTCCTTACCATGCTTTGACAAGAATCATTGAATAACTTTTTTCTTTAAAAACACAGTTCTTGCCATGTTTTATATGTTTTTCTTTCCTTTTTTCTTTGGTGGTTTGTCATATTATCCTAGTTTACATGAATATGAAAACAAATTAAAGTTTTGAGGCTGGGTGTGGTGGCTCACACCTGTAATCCCAGCACTTTGGGAGGCCAAGGCGGGCGGATCACCTGAGGTCAGGAATTCGAGATCAGCCTAACCAACATGGAGAAACCCCATCTTTACTAAAAACACAAAATTAGCCAGGCGTGGTGGCGCATGCCTATAATCTCAGCTACTCGGGAGGCTGAGGCATGAGAATCGCTTGAATCCGGGAGGCGGAGGTAGCCGTGAGCTGAGATCGTGCCGTTGCACTCCGGCCTGGGCAACAAGAGCAAAACTCCATCTCAAAAAAAAAAAAAATTAAACTTTTGAACATGTCCGAATAAAAATGCAATAGAAAAATAGTAATGATCTAGGATGATAATTTTCCTGCAGTAATTTTTTGAGTCACTCAAAAGAAACATTTATTACTCATTTACTAAGTCTAAAAGATAACTACCAGGCGCGGTGGCTCAAGCTTGTAATCCCAGCTCTTTGGGAGGCCGAGACGGGCGGATCACGAGGTCAGGAGATCGAGACCATCCTGGCTAACACGGTGAAACCCCGTCTCTACTAAAAACACACACAAAAAATTAGCCGGGCGTGGTGGCGGGCGCCTATGGTCCCAGTTACATGGCAGGCTGAGGCAGGAGAATGGCGTGAACCGGGGAGGCAGAGCTTGCAGTGAGCTGAGATCCGGCCACTGTACTCCAGCCTGGGCGACAGAGCCAGACTCCGTCTCAAAAAAAAAAAAAAAAAGGACATGATCTCAGTCCTCAGGATGCCTGAGAGAGTCAAAAACAAGTGGAAAATGAGGCTAGCTGTAGATTTCAGTGAGCATGAGGAAAAGCAGAAGTTAGACATACTAAACAATGTTTCAAATTACTCAAGTGAGGAATTCCTCAAGTGAGGAAGGAGCCTCACTTTGCTTTCTGAAGATATGTTCTTTCTTCCAGAAAAATCCACTTAGGCGCCAGCTGGAAATCCTAAGGGGAAATCAAATAATGATGTTTTCACTCGCGCAGCATCTTTTGTGGGTCAGTAGCATCAGGACATAATACAATATAAGGATCCCCATATGATATAAGGGCATTTCTAGGTCTCCTGGAACCTGGGAAGTACAGAATCAAGATGTAGGACTTCCTGCAAAAGTGCCTGTAATTTACAAAAATGAACAGCAGTGTTTTTAAAGCTGCAGCCTGGAGACTACTGAGTTAAAGAAAATTATAAGAAAAATAAAATCTTATTACTATAGTATTCTATCATGTTACCTGTCACACTCCATTGTGACAACACCAGCCCAAACCAACTTTCTAAGGTCAGAAACCTATCTATCTTATTTATAACTAGATCTCCGGTATCTAGCACAATGCTTGGCACATTAGTAAACACTTGATATTTGTCAAATAAACAATTGAGTGAATGAACAAATATGCACAGTCCCAGAATCTTACTAAAACAAAACGTTTGGCACAAAAAGATTAAGAACATTTCTTGGCTTTTTGATGAAGATGACAGTTTTACCATCTGACTGATCAATTTTTTTTTTAATTCCATCATACCTCTACAACTGTCTTCTCTTTTGCCCATGTAGTGATCGGTATAAAGGTTTTGTTTTGTTTTGTTTCTTTACTTCATTATATGGTTTCTCTACTTCAGAACTCATTTGAGGCTCATGGCAGTTACTCTTCTTACACTACAAAAGGTAGTAGATATACTGAGATTATATTTGCAGCAATCTCAACTTCCACAAAAAGAAAAAGGCTTTTATGAAATGAGTGCCACTTCATTCTAGTTTAAAGATGATACTATGGTTTATGGTTTCTCAATAGTTGTTAAATAATATTCATCAATCCAAGGTATTTTTATGATTATGATTATGACATTTTGCCATCTCTATTCATGAGATGAGCTAATGTGTCTATTGGAATAAAAATACTATATAAACAGATAATATGTGAGATATAATATACTTAAGCTGCTGTTTCAGTCATCTACTACTAACAAACCGTACCAATACTCAGTGGCTTAAAACAACATGAGTTGTTATTTTCTATGATTCTCTAGTTGATTGGGTGGCAATTCTGTCAGACTTGCCTTAACTTTCAGGCAGCAGCATTCAGCTGGCAGGTTTGCTGGGGGCTAGGTTCAGCTGGGACATTTGGGCTCACTGGGCAATTCTCTTCATTAAGTCTTTATTCCAGACTTCTTCATATACCTTGGAGTCTCAGAACACTATTCTAAGAGGATGATGGTGGAAGGTAAGGGACCCCTAAGATCTAGGCTCTGGTTCTCAAACATTGCTTCTTATCACATTCTTCCACTATCAATAGCTTTCTCAGCCTGCCTCCTGCTTGGAAAAAAACGAGCACCCAGGGGCCCCTTCATGATCAAAGGAAGTCACAAGGCTGGTGAAGGAACAGATTCCATCACTTCAAGTGAAGAGTAGCAACGTCACATTGCAAAGGGGTGTGGAACACAGCAAGATGATCCATTGAATGCTATTGTATAACAATCTACCACAGTCTGCCCACTGGTCACTTTGGTTCACGTCCCCCTCACAGGCAAACTACATTTATCCACTCCCAACACCCCAAAGTCTAATTTAATCACTGAAGTCAATTTTATGTATCTTTCACCTAAATCCAATCCAGGTGCAGTCAAAATGCCTGGGAGATGATTCCACAAGTCCAGCTCCTTGGGTACAGCATCTGTTGATCCAGAGACCTGTGAACTAAAAGGACAAAGCATGTGCCCTTCTTCTCTCCCAGCCATCTCAACCTCCAACATTTAACAGTGGAATAAGAACAGGGTAACAACTGACAGAGGAAGGGAGAGGGGGCATTCTGAATAGAAGGTACATAGAATACATGGGACCACAGAATTCTGAAATCCACTTGGGCACATGTCACCAACTCTTTTGACCCCAGAGACATGGAATGCTTCCTTATTAGGGCAAAGTCTGCTTCTGTTGCTACTCCTTTTCCTCATCTGTTCCTATCCTTGGCTCTTGGCCCTTCCCACTGAGTCTGGTCTTTTTCATAAGAAATGGCTTCTGTTTGCAGCTGCGTAGCTTTCTCAGCCTGCCTCCCCACAAAGAGAGTTGAGAACCTAGAGGCCTCTTTTCATTTTGAACTGCCTCTGTCCCTTTTAATCCAAATTGGCACAACTTCTTTAGAAATGTGTGTGCTTTTCCAATGAATCTGAATGGGGTTTACATCATGCCCACAAAGCCACAAACATTTTTTTTGAGACAGGTATTTCTCTATGTTTGGGTCACACTTGAGGCCCTTCAGATTCTTAGAAGCTCCATTTTCTATTTAAGGAAGTCTCCAAGTCACTGCTTGAGTCTTTCAGAGGTCTTCAGGGAGGGGTTTACAGCCATATCCCTGATTTGAACTTTATTCTGAGGCCATTTCTTACATCGAGAATCTTTTGCTGGGTGAAAGACTGTTTTGAGCCCCCTATATTTCCTCTAAATTCAATTGCAAACTGAAAGTTCCTACTTTAGTTCATCTCTGTGGTTGGCAAAATAATGCCTCCCCAAAGATGTCCATGCTCTAATCCCCAGAACTAGTGATTATTTTACCTTACCTAGCAAAACGGATGTTGCAGATATGATTACAGGGTGCAGACCTTCAGATGGGAAGATTATCCTGGATGATCCATGTGAGCCAAACCTAATTATGAGTCTTTAAAAGCTGAGAACCTTTCTCAGCTGTAGTTAGAGATATTCACAGGAGAGATTTAAAGTGAGAAAAGGACTCAGCCTACCATTGCTGGCTTTGAGAATGGAGGAAGGGATCAGGGAGTATGGGTGTCCTCAAGAAGGTGGGAAAGACTTTCAGCTAACAGCAGCAAGGACATATGAATGTTAGTCCTAGACCACAAGGAACTGGATTCTGCAAACAACTCAAAAGAGCAAAGAAATAGATCTTCCCCTAGAACCTCTAGAAAGGGACATAACCCTGCTGACACCTTGATTTTAGCCCTGTAAGAGCCATGATAAACTTCTGACTTACAGAACTATAAAATATTAAATTTGTGTTAAACTGCAAAATTTGTGGTAATTTTTATGGCATCAGCAGAAAATGAAAACTTTCTCTTAAAATACCTTATTTAACATAACTAAAAGAAGTTAGTTGTCGCTTTTAATTTTCTATATGGAAATTACTTTAGTGAAATCAACAAGTTCATTAGGAACATTTTCTATTTTCTAAGTTACCACAGGCAACAGTTAATTGGTTCACCTTTGTTTTTCTAGTCTCCAATAGCAATTTCCTCCCTGCTCTTCTAGTTTCACCGTCTCCTCTCCATCTTTTTCAGTACTGTTCTGTGCCTGGCCCTAAAGACAATGTCATATACTTGGGGTTTTGTTACAGCAATATCAGTTTGCTACATTTATCTATTGATTTGTACTTTCAGTGCCAACTTCTATTGGCTTTATCTGTTGCTTTGTACTTTTATACCATGTTCTGTTTTATTTATCTATTGCTTTGTAAGAATCCACCATCCTAAAACTTAGTAGATTAATTGTCAATGTACTGTATTTTTAAAAAATAATCATTAGGGTTAATCAGGTAGTTTTCTGCCAAGTCTTACCTGCACCCACTTAGGCCAATGCATTCAGCTGGTGGATCAGCTGGGGACTGAGCTCAGCCAAGAAATCTGGTTGGCCAAATCTCTCTTTCCAAATGCAGTTTCATTGTGAGAGTCTTTATTGCATGACAGTCTCCGGGTAGGGTCCTTGGAGGCCAAAGGCAGTTGCTGCAAGGCCTCATGAGTCCAAGGTTTTGGAACGCACATGACTGCATCTGCCACATTCTATTGGTCAGAGAAAGTGACATGAACAGCATATATTGAAGCAGGCAGGGGGATAAATTGTCTCTTGATGGAAGGTGTGGCTATGTCACATGCAAAGGGGCACGGATGCAGAAAGGTGTGATTCACTGGGGGCCTCATATAGTGATCTATTCTAGCTACAAACATGTTTAAGGGAAACAAGGAGAATGACAGAGGAGAGGTCTGTATGGAACACCGTGCTTTTGCAAGGAAGTTTAATATGAAATTCTAAAGTCAATATGAGAAGTATATTTTCCAGCAGACAGAGTAATAATCCTGAGAGAATAAGGCCATATTCAGGAATTTTAAAAGGCACAACATTTTGCAGAAATAATAGAGGAAGGTTGAAGGCTTAACTGCAGTCACAGAAGAGTCCAAGGAGGAAGACAAAGGGCTAGAGCCAGTCAACAACCCAAAGCAGCAGTAGAGAAGCCTAGTGAAGGTTAAGGTATAGGTGTGGAATAGAACTAGAAGAGATCCTGTTTCCCTGTATTATTTCCAGACACTTCAGGGAAAAGGCAAGACCACATGGTTTCCTCCCAGCTGAGCAGTTCTTCAGAAAGAGGCATCATGGGAGTTCTGTTAGTGCTGGTGTTGCAAGAAAACTTAAGAGGTCAAACCTATGGACTTTGTGGTCCCGAGCTCCAGCCTTTTGTGTTCTTGCCAATCCTTTAAATATCCATTCAAATGCCAGAGTTAAAATTATGTTTTCCCCTACTATATTTGCATGACTTTTTTTTTTTACCATGATAACATCATTTTAAAATATTTTTATTCTATTTGACACATATACATGAGCAGAGACTATCTGTTTCTTTACGGCATCTAGTGTAGCACCACATACGTATGTGGCACTCAGTAAAGGTTGTTTTTTTTTTTTTCCAAGTAATTAGTCCTAGGTTGCCTCTTACTGTCTCAGTTTCATCAGCAAAAGTGAAGTAGCTGTCCTGCATCTCACAGGATGCTAATAAGAGTAAAGTAAGATAAAAGCTCTATAAACAATTCCAAGAAGAAAACAATGGAATGCAAAAGAGTGAAATGCAAAGCTCAATAGAGGACACGTAACTTGAAGTTGTATGAAACTTTCCCTGTTATACAAAACATAGCTAGGATCCAAAAATGAGGATGGAACCCTATATACTAAATCAACAGAACTAGCCCCTCAATAACCACAATTACCTCAATCCATATAAACAGGAGAATAGGAAGGAGGAAAATGGGAATTATTAGAGTCATAACTTTTGGCTTGGGAGGCACTGCTATGGCTTGCTCCTGCCCCTCCCCAAAAAGCCAAGATCTTTAAAGTCTGAGACAGACTCCAAGGGAGTCTCTGGCAAAGTCTGGGGATGTCTGAAAAAAGGAAAATCAGCACCTAATTTTCTAGTTATACATTAGATTAGGACATAGGCTACTCAATCTTCTCAAAGTCTATGTGAACAGGAAAAAAAAAAAAACTTGAGAAGGATGGCAGGGCACACAGAGAGCCCTGTGGTGCAGCTCAGCTATTACTTCTGCTTTGATGGGAGCATGTATGTTTCTGGTAGGTAAAGTGAGCACCACAAAAAAATAGCCACACTTATGCCATCATGCTGACACCAACACAAAAAGCTAACTCCTGGGTGAAATAACCAGCGACAAGAGCCCATGGAGTTTACCAGTAAATGCAAGGGCCTTGGAGGGTTAGATGAGGTGAAGCAGGACACTATGGATTGGGAAGGCTTTGAAATAACTCACATGTGTGTCTGCTATATAAATCCAGTATTTGAGTACCTGCCATCGAGAAGGGATTGTCAATGGACAGTCATTATTGGCCCAGCAATTAGTGTCAAAGAAGACTTCACTAGTGGCCCAAGGAATCTCTCTGATTCCTCCTGTGTCCGCTCACTGGAGAAGCTAGAATATACAAGAGGAAAGAAGAAGCTGAGACCCAGAGGCAAAATATGTTGTCCCCAGTGTAGGTAATGGGAAATAAATAAAAAGAAGACCATATCCTCCTTCCCTATGTTAGGTCCCTCAAGCCACAATGCTAGAAGTTAGCTGCAAAGAGAACATCTTTAATTTGCATAGGAAATTTGATTTTTAGACCGTGCTTGTTTTGTTTTGCTTTGGTTTTTGGCAGGGTCTCACTCTGTTGCCCAGGTTGCAGGGCAGTGGCATGATCTCAGCTGACTGCAACCTCCCCCACCCCACCCCTGGGTTCAAGTGATCCACCCACCTCAGGCTCCTGAAAAGCTGGGACTACAGGCTGTGTGACACCATACCTGGCTAACTATTTTTGTATTTTTAGTAGAGATGGGGGTCTCACCATGCTGCCCAGGTTGGTCTGGAACTTCTAAGCAATCCACCTGCCTTAGACTCCCAAAGTGCTGGGATTACAGGTATGAGCCACTTCACCTGGCTAACAAAGTGGGTTTTTAATCACTGAAATGGACTGGGAAATTATAGAATTTTCCCAAGATGTGATAATGTGGTAAGACATCTGCTACAGGAGGCAAGGAGAATTTAAAATGGCCTTATTAGTGGCAGCATTTGGAGAAAACTATAAACATTTCTAATTTATACTTCTACAACTTCAGCTTACTTGATAACCTACAGAGAGAGAGAGAAAGAGAGAGAGAGAGATGACTATTACCTCAAATTCATGTTCCCCTTGATTTAAACATTTTTAACTAACATAAGTATTTGGTACTAAATGCTGGGGTTACAAGATGGGACAATACTGAGACAAACCATTCCTTCCTATGATGGAGATAAACACAATTGTAAGAAGAAGTTGGGAAGATTACCAACATATATTGAAAATGTGACCACTTATCACCATGGTAACAAATTATTTTGGTCAAAAATACTTTTTGATGTTTCCAGACCCTACACAGCTAGCTTGATGTGTAATTAAGCATTATCATTGCTGCCTTGAAGGATCACTATCAGGTACATTTCACTGTCTCAAACAAGTTTCTCTGAAAAGTGTGTGTGTGTATGTGTGTGTGTCTTAGGGCTAAAACAGTTTTTTGTTTTGTTTTGTTTGAGACAGAGTTTCGCTCTGTCACCCAGGCTGGAGTGCAATGGTGCAATCTCGGCTCACTGCAAACTCTGCCTCCCAGGTTCAAGGGATTCTCCTGCCTCACCTCCTGAGTAGCTGGGACTACAGATGCATGCTACCATGCCCGGCTAATTTTTTGTATTTTTAGTAGAGAAGGGGTTTCACTGTGTTAGCCAGAATGGTCTCTATCTCCTGACTTTGTGATCTGCCCGCCTCAGCCTCCCACAGTGCTGGGATTACAGGCGTGAGTCACCGTGCCCGGCAAAACAGTTTTTAAAAAGTACATTCTTTTTCTTCATTAAAACACTTATTTAACCTTTGAACAGTGCATTTTTCCTACTAACAAAACTTGGTTTTGATGTATTATTCTGATCACTTAATCGCTTTACTAGTGTTTCAAAATTAATGATCTCAACTAGAATAGTATTCCAATTATTCTCAGGATCTTTGGATAAATCTTAAAAAGAAAGCCTAGGAAACAGCAATATTAGTTGAGGTGATGCAAAATAGGTTTAGTGACTCTCTGCTTTTTTAATAAACAGGGTGAATATACCTGAGATGGAATTGTGTGCCCCTCCCCTTGCCATTCACATGTTAAAGCCTAATCTCCAATGTGACTATATTTGGAGAAGGACATTTAGGAGGTAATTAAGGTTAATGAGGTTATAAGAATGGGGCCCTAATCTGGTAGAATGAATGTTCTTATAAGAGGAGACACTAAAAGCTTATTCACTCACTTGCTGTCTGCACAAGCATACATCATGGAAAGGCCACCAGCAAGTCGGGAAGAAAACTCTCACCAGAAATCAAACCCTGCTAGACATAGACCTTGGGCTTGGAGCCTCCAGAACTGTGAGAATATTGGTGTCTGTTCTTTAAACTATGCAGTCTGTGGTATTATTTTATAGCAGCCCTAGCTGACCAATGACCAATATAATCTGTAAAGAATAAGATTACTTAAAAAAAATCCATTTAGCCCTTGGACACACACACGTGCACACACACACACACAGACACACATACACACACACACACACACACACACAAGCCCTTCACAGAGAAATCTGTTTGAGACCATAGAATCAGTTGATACATGTAAAAGGAACTTTAGGATGAGAAACTTCCCTTTCCGATGGTTTCAGAAACCAACTGGGTAAGAAACTAACTATTATCTAAAGGAAATTGGTATTTCCAGGACTTCCTCCAGTGGGATACAGAATCACATTCTCATTTATTTTATGCTTTTGATTCCATCTTGTCTAACTGTATGGCCTTTAAGTCAACCATCCCAGTTTATTTAACCAGTCTCCTATTTTTCAATGTTTCAGAATTTTTATAATATTTTATTATTCATTCATTTGGCAAATGTTTACTGAGCACCTTCTAGGTGCCTGGCACTATTTTAAGGGATACAAAATTCCTGACATCACAACACAGATAAGCAAAATTCAATTTAATAAGGATGTATATCAGATGGAGATAAATATTATGGAAGGAACTAGGAAAGGTGGGTGGAGGGAGCACATTGCTTTTTACATGGAGGGCATAGGATCAGCTACACTGACACTGAAACAGAAATGTGGATGGTGAACAGCAAAGCCCTGAAGAGGAAACACGCTTGGTTCATGCAGGAACAGCAATGAAGTCTGTGTAGCCCAATGAAAGGGTGCAAGGAGAGAAGGGGTAGAAAGTAGAGATTAGACCAGAGAAGTTTGGCATGGACTGCAATGGGGCAGATCACATGGGGCAGTTGGGTTTTTCCTCTGAGATGAGAAAACTATAGAGCTCTTAAAGGCTTTTGAAGAGTGACCTTATTTGACATAAGTTTTTAAAGGATTATGATGACTACTATGTGAAAATTGGATTATAGGTAACAAAGGAGTGGAGGTCGAAAGAGGGATCAGATGCTGGATATATTGTGAAGCTAGATCTAACATGATTTGCTCATCGATGTGATGTAGAATATGAAAGACAGAAATCTTTGAATCTTTGAATACTTTTCTGATTATTTATTCCTGATAAATTTTTTTTGAATTGGAAGCCTAGATCAAAGACTACACACATTTAAAAGTCTTTCAGATATATATTGTCAACTCGTCCTCTGAAACCTGAAAAAACATTTTTATCCATTTTTTTTGAGACAGTGTCTGAGGCTGTCTAGACAATTTCTCAGCAGCACAGGAAAATTACATGGTATTATTATGTTTAATATTGACAGTTTAATAGGGAAATATTTTTTTTGTATCTTAGTTTTACTCTTAATGATTCTGAATATTTAATATTTTTATTGCTCAATGGTATTGGCCACTTTTTTTTCCACTAGGGAGTTTGTCTTTTTATCATTTAATCTTTTTAATTACAATTCTTATTTAAAATTTTACTTATTTATAAAATCCATTCTCTTTTCCTCCCAGAAACCCAGATAAACTACATTTCTCAGCCATTCTTGCACTTAGGGGTAGTCATATGTCCAAATTCTGGCTAGTGGAACATCAGTGGAAGCGATGCAGACTACTTGTAGACCATGTAGGCCATGAAAACCTCCTTTGTATGATCCTCCACACTCTTTTCTACTCAAAGCTAAGTGGAAAGAAAGAACCCCAAAGGAGCCCACGGGAGGCACATGGTGAAAATGGCACAAGAAGGGAGGATCTTGGCAAATTAAATCACTACTTATAGGAGAGTTGCCCGCCAAGAACACTGGTTTTGAAGTGTTGTAAGAAACGTCCTTTATTGTGTTAAGCCACTGAGATTTAAGGGTTTATCAATTACAGTAGTAAGTGTATTTCCTAACTATTAAATAAATATATTGAAAGAATTATAAGAATTTCTTCAAAATTAAATATATGGACCTTTTGCTGTACGGAGATATGTAAAATGTTCTTTGACTGGACACTGATCTATGTTTCCTGGTACGGAGAGACTGACCCACTCCTCTTACTTCCTTCTTAGAGCTAACAATTCCAAAAACAGAAGGTAATGGAGTCAAACAGGTCAAATCACTCTCACTCTCACGTTCTCTGCCACACATAGTTCTTTTCTAAACGATTGCAATACCTGCCTGACCAAAGCAGACAAACTGGCAACATTGTTAATTTGTCATAGAAAGCCTCTTTGTTTCCTGTTTTCCAGAAAATACTCTTTGGATATTTTCCCTGTTGCAACAGCCTGTATGAAGTGCCCAACACCTGCAGTCTCAGACAACTTTTGAAAGTTATAAACCTGTAATAAATACAGCAAATGTTTTTTCCTAGTTTGTAGTTTCTCCTTCATTTTTTTCTGTGTTTAAAACATTCTTACTGTCTATGTGCTGTCTCTGTATATAATCTTTCTTTATATTCTCTGTGATTTACACCCCCTGTTCAGAGGCGCCCAGTCCCATCTACCACCCAAGGTCTGAGAAGTACAGGTATGCCGCTGGGGGCCAGCTCCACCAGTGGCCCTGACCCAGGATCCACTAGGTGAAGCCAGCTGGACTCCTGAGTCCGATGGGGACTTGGAGAACTTTTATATCTAACAGGAGGATTGTATATGCACCAATCAGCACTCTGTATCTAGCTAATCTGGTGCGGACTTGGAGAACTTTTATGTCTAGCTAAAGGATCGTGGATGCACCAATCAGCACTCTGTGTCTAGCTCAGGTTTTGTAAATGCACCAATCAGCACCCTGTGTCTAGCTCAAGGTTTGTAAATGCACCAATCAGTCCTTTGTGTCTAGCTAATCTAGTGGGGACTCTGAGAACTTTTATGTCTAGCTAGAGGATTATGAATACACCAGTCAGGGCTCTGTGTCTAACTCAGGGGTTGTAAACACACCAATTAGCTCACTGTCAAAATGGACCAATCAGCTCTCTGTAAAATGGACCAATCAGCAGGATGTGGGTGGGGTCAGATAAGGGAATAAAAGCAGGCTGCCTGAGACACCCAGCTAGCAACCAGCTTGGTTCCCTTCCACGTGGTGGAAGTTTTGTTCTTTTGCTCTTTACAATAAATCTTGCTGCTGCTCTGTCTTTGGGTCCATGCTGCCTTTATGAGCTGTAACACTCACCAAGAAGGTCTGCAGCTTCACTCCTGAAGTCAGCAAGACCATGAACCCACCAGAAGATGGACACATCTGAACATCTGAAGGAACAGACTCCAGACACACCATCTTTAACAACTGTAACACTCACTGCGAGGGTCCACGGCTTCATTCTTGAAGTCAGCGAGACCAAGAACCCACCAATTCCGGACACACCATTAGGAAGATGTAGTAGTTGCCAATTGCTGCCATAACAAATTACTCACAAACTAAGTGGCTTAAAACAATGCAAATTTGTCTTACAATTCTGAAGGTCAGAAGTACAAAATGGTTTACTTTGGTCACTGGGTTAAAATCAAGCAGTCGGCAATTCTGCATTCCTTTGTGGGAGATGTAGTGCGGAATCCGCTTTCTTACTTTTTCTGGCTTCAAGAGACCACTAGCATTCCTTACCTCTTGACCGACTCCCTCTTCCGTCTTCAAAGTCAACAATGAAGCATCTTCACATCTCTGACTCTGACTCTCTTGATTTCTCATTTCACTTATAAGGATCCTTGTGATTATTTACGTGGATAATCCAAGGAAATCTTTTCATCCCAGTATCTTTAACTTAATCTCATCTGCAAAGTCCCTTTTGCCACATGCTGTGATTTGAATGTGTCCCCCAAAGTTCATATGCTAAAACTTAATCACCAATGTGATGGTATTTCAGAGGTGACTCAGTCATGGGGGCAGAGCCCTCATGAATGGTAGGGGCCTTATAAAAGGGTTAGAGAGAGGGGATTCATCCCTTTTTTGCCCTTCTGTTCCATCTGCCACATGAGGACACAGCATCTGTTCGCTTCAGAGGATGTTGTAACAGGGCGCCATCTTGCAAGCATAGAATGACCCTCACTGGTCACCAATTTGGCTGGCACCTTGATCTTGGACTTTACAGCATCAAAAACTGTGAGAAATAAATTTTTAAATAACACAGTCACAAGTATTTTGTTATAGCAGCACAAATGAACTAAGACACTATGTAAGATAGCATATTCACAGGTTCCGGGGTTTAGAATGTGGACATCTTTGGTAGACTTTTATTCTACTTACCACAGAAGGATTTATCCACACAATAACACAAAGGCAAGCCCTTTCCATGGTTTTTCTATGACTCTTAAATTTAGTCATGAACCATTCAGTGCATACATTTTCTCAGACAAAAATCTCAACTCTTCTTAATTTTTTGCTTAATTAATATGAGTTGGTTAATATAAAGCTTTAAAAATATAGAAGAAAGTAAAATATAGGCCAGGCATGAGGGTTTATGCCTGTAATCCCAGTACTTTGGGAGGCCAAGGTGGGAGGACCACTTGAGGTCAGAGGTTTGAGACCAGCCCAGACAACATAGGAGACAAGAAACTTAAAGATTAAGCGAAGCGCAGTGGCTCACGACAGTAATACCAGCACCGTGGAAGACCAGGGTGGGCAGATCACTTGAGGTCAGGAGTTTGAGACCAGCTTGGCAAACATGGTGAAACCCTGTCTCTACCAAAAAAAACAAAAATTAGCCGGGTGTGGTGGTGGACACCTATAATCCCAGCTACTTGGGAGGCTGAGGCAGAAGAATTGCTTGAACCCAGGTGGTGGAGGTTGCAGTGAGTCGAGATTGTGCCACAGTACTCCAGTCTGGGTGACAGAGCAAGACTCTGTCTCAAAAAAAAAAAAAAAAAGAAAAATTTTGCTGAGTGTAGTGGCATACACCTGTGGTCTCAGCCTCTTGGGAGACTGAGGCAGGAGAATCACCTGAGCCCAGGAGTTTATCTTGAGCTATGATCATACCACTGCAGTCTGGTGACAGAGCAAGATCCTGTATCAAAATAATAATAAGAATAATGAAAATAAAGTACATAAAACAAAAGTGAGATCTTAATTTCACAAAAATAACCCCTAGATTGAAATAGAAATAACTTCAACTCAGAGTAAAAATTAGCAATAACTTTTAGTTGGGCTCAGACGAGAAAGTTGAATTTATATACGGCTTACTTTTTGTTTCTTGTAATTGAAAATATCTCTTAGAGAGAATAATATAAATTTCCATTTAAAAACATTGATTGAAATAAAATATATAAGCTCTAAACAAATATTTCTACCATTTTGTTTTCTCCTATTTCTAATTAACCAGAGAATCTGAAACATAAATCAATAAAAAAATGCTTTGCAGGATCAGTCAGAAAAATAATATAAAATTTAAAAATATTGGAAGTTCTTTTGTTATAATAATATTAGAGGGTTTCAAATTCAACCGCTACTTGTTTGTTTTTTTCTAGCAGCTATTCTTGTCATCTGTCCTTTTATACAGTCATAAAAATCACTTATTGATTGCTCAAAGCATTATCTTAGGTGTGGGCATAATGAAAATGAATAAAGCATGACTTCTAATCTTCAGAAGTTTACAGCCCAGCATGATGCATACTTACAGAACTAAAATATTTCTACACTAATGGATATATGAAGAAAATATCATAGAAATACAATTAAGTGAGCATCTAATTCTTAAGTAATCACGCCTTAAGAAAAATGCTGTGATTAACAAGATTAAAGAACAATGAGTACAGTGGCATCTAGATGTGTTATATGGGAAGTAATGAACTGAAATAAAAATATTGGGGGAAATGAATTGTCAGTACAGATTCTACTGAAACTGCTGTTATTGATACCAATATTTTGAAGACTAATTTTATTTCTTTTATAAAGATGAGATTATTTATTTGAGTAACTGGTATCTTGTTCTCCAAATGTTTTTTACTAACAGTAATATGGATGACAAGAAGGATTTATTATGCTGAATTTAACTTACACGTTAATTTGAACAAATATGAACTACCTATCCAAAAAGAAATCTCTTAGTGTAGGTAGTTAAATGCTTTCCTTTTGCAAATTTACCATGGAATTTCTAGATTAAATGTACATGTAAGGCATCTTTACCCAAAAGCAGTTAGAAGTCATCCTTTATTGAAGCAAATCTAGTACAAAAAAGTTTACTTGTGTAGAGGTAAGGAATCATAGTATTGAAAAGGTATTGTCTGTCCTCTCTATGGAAAACATGTCAAGTCTACTGAACAAGCCTGTCAGCGGTCATTTTTTTTTTTTTTTTTTTTTTTTTTTACCATAAGAGCTATTAACTAAACAAGAGAAAACACAGAACAAACTTGCTTATAAAACTCAACTGAGGAGGGCAAAAATAGATGATAGGGAGGTAGACGGATGGTGTTAATTTAAGAAAATTTCATATTTATTTCAGCATACAAAAACCAGTAACAAAGTAAACATAGAAATGGTAAAACTTCCTGTTTTAAAAAGCTGACCTCAACTGAATCCACAAATTCTTGGAGAAATGTTTTTGTTATTTTCACAACATTTTAAATTTTCTCTATTATTACAGAAGAATGTCCTGTTTGGAAAGTGGGGAAAGGACAAAAAAAATAGAAAACACATTAGTCTCATTAGGTAGTGATATCTACTTTAAACACTTCATATATTTGCTTCATTTGTAATGCAGGTATATATTGCACATAAGCAAAATTAATAACCTTCTGTAAAATTTGTTTTATAGCCTGTTTTTGTTCATTTCTCTCTCTTTTTTTTAAGATAGTCTTGCTCTGTTGCCTAGGCTGCAGTTCAGTGACATGATCGTAGCTTGCTGCAGCCTTAAACTCCTGGGCTTGAGCAATCCTACTACCTAAGTCTCCCAAGTAGGTGGGACTACCGGTGTGTGCCACCACACCTGGGTTATTTTTAAATTTGTTTTTAGAGATGGAGTCTCGCTATGTTGCCCAAGCTGGTCTGCAACTCCTGGCCTCAAGTGATCCTTCTGGCTGAGCCTCCCAAAGTAGTGGGAATATAGGCATGAGCCACCACTTCTGGCATAACTTGCTTTTATATTTAAAAATGTTATTATATTTCCCATGCCACTAAATAGATTTTGAAAATGTAACTTTAATAACTGTATTTTATATCTTTTAATAAATATTTCATAATTTATTTGCCTAGTTTCTTATTGTTGAACACTAGGATTATTTCTGGTGTTTTTTTTTTTTTTTTGCTATTAAAAATGTTGCAGTAAATACGGTTGTAGTAATTATACAGCATTTATTTCTTCAGTATAAAATTTCTATTCATAGAAGTGAAATTGCTGGGTCAAAAAACCTAGAGTCTTTTAAAAAGCTCTAAAAAGATGTCAATTAGTTTACTGTTGCCTTTTTCAAAACAAATGTAATACATATTCCTTGTGTATTCTTTTAATTTACATAAATTGAATGATTCTGCATACATTTTTCTGTATCTTGTTTTTACCTAATAATATATTTTGGAGATCTTTCCATATCTACATGTAAATATTAATTACATTCTTTTTATATTTTGTACTTATTGCATTATACAAATATACTTACTATGTCTTAAGCCTTGATTGTTCAGTCCTATCATGTGCACCAGGGAGAGGATGAGAGCTAGTGTAAAAGCTGGACTCAGAGAAGAGCTGACCTTCCATAGAGCAACCAGAAGCTATTAGACGATAAAAGTAAAATGTAAGGGACATAGGGGATGGGGGGTAGAAGATAAGAAAGAAGATAAATTAAGAAAGTGAGGGAGAAGAATATAATTAGATAGTCATATCAGGGAAACAAAGGCATGACTAGAAAGGCAGAGGAAGGGAGAGCCAGAAATGAAATGTCATATGTATGTGCATACAATTTATAATGCAAAATATGCTTTGTATATAGATTCTAACTTCAGAGTAAACCTGCATAATAAATAAATGGAAGAGATAATACTATTGAGCCATATGATATCCAACCCTCAATTTCTTATCTCATGAAACATCTCCACAGGTTTACACCCAATTATACCACAATTGAGACTGGTTTTGTTAAAGGTATCCTAGGAAATAATAATTGGTTTGAAAGGGAAAGGTGGGGTATCAAAACAAGGCAGAATACATAGAATTTATTTAAGTATAGGGCAGGCTGTTACAGGGGTTGGTTAGCACTGTCCAAATGGTCAGGAAAAACTGTAGTGTGTTCCAGATCAAATCCGTACCCAAGGGCACCTAATCTAGTTGTGGAGGTACAGTGGCAAGGTTATCTAGGAATAGCTGAAATTCAAATCAGAAGAGCAAAAACCAGCTGATGAAGAATTAGAAGCCAATAATTAGAGGCCCAGGTCTAACCTGTGGAGAAAGGGTTAGCGTGGGCTCCACAGGTTGTTGGGTATTAGTGAAGTAAGTTTAAATTCAAGGAAGAACACAAGAGTTACCAGCAGAAATCAGAGCTGGGAGTGGGTGTGGCAGACACCCAGGCACACGTAGACTGGGAAAATATGGGGGAAAGCTGTGGCTTGGAGGACACAGGTTGATAAGCTCAGAATTCCTAAGCAGAGGCCAGATGATATCCTGACCATGCCCTGGTGGATACGTTTTTTGTTTTGTTTTTTAAAAAAATCTATTTTGTCTTATTTTTTACACAGGTTTACAGGTTTGCCTTGGTCAAAAATGGGAGAGATGCAAAGCTAAGCCAATTGGGGAAGCCAAGGATTGTCATACCTTATTTATATCTCAAGTGAAAAAGTTTCTGACAATAAATTGGGTTATCTTTGATAATAACATTACCACATTTTAATGAGGGCTTACTACATTTTGTGAATCATCCCAATTTATCCTCAAAGCAATCCTTGAAACAGACACTACTAGTATATACATTTTACTGAGATAGACAGTGAAACACTCATTATGTTACTAGGCTTAAGTACTGAAATTGGAAACCCAACCCAAAACATCTGGTCCCAAATCCTTTCTTTTAAAACATATCTGCCTCTCATATAGAGATTGCTTATGTTGAGAAGTATGAAGCCATATACAGATGGTGGTAGCTATGATAATCCTTTAATTATTTTTAGTCAAGAGTCTGCAAAAATGTATCTTGTTCAATTCTATTAGGATGCTCTGTTCTTGAATCTGAAAATTAGGCTGTTCACTTTTATCATTTCCTTAATTCTATACTATTCTTCTTCCTCCTTACCCTTCCACCAAGGCTGTTTGCAGCTGGTCATTTATCTTAGCTGCCTTCCATTTCTTTGTTCTATTCTCCCAAAGGTTTTTACCTATTATTTGAATCATGTATTCCAATCTCTTCATATGAGCCATTAACATAATGAGATTCTTGTCTTCACCGAAGACACAACTTAAAAAAAACCTCATAATTAAATTGGTGTAGATATAATACAATCAATATTTTTTTCCTCTCTAGGGTTAATTATACATATGTTGTATTTTGGTAGCCTGCATTATAATCTCTATTTTTAAACAATAAAGAATTTTACTTTTGGTTTTAAAATTGAAAATAGCCACTGTTCTAATAATTTCATGCACTCCTATAATAGTTGTCAAGAGCAAACACAAAAATTTTAGTTACTGCTGCCTTACAATAACCTTTTAACTTGATAGTAATGTTTCACATTTTCCTTTGTTACAGTCTTTGATCAAATAATTGTAAATTTTCTGATGCAGTTTTTCTAGGCAAAACTATCGTTTAAAGATTTTTCAGGAATATAGAATGTCTGTCAGAAATTGATGTTTGGGAAATCACTTTGATCAGCCCATTAATGGTAGGCTGGTAACCCTGCCACTGTACCTCCACAGCTAGATTAGGTGCCCTTGGGTACGGATTTGATCTGGAACAAACTACAGTTTTTCCTGACCATTTGGACAATGCTAACCAACCCCTGTAACAGCCTGCCCTATACTTTCTGGGCACTGATATTAGAAGGTGGGGAAACAGAAGTCAGAAAACTATTCATCATGAGCAAAGGAAAAATATATATATTTTTCCTCTGACAAGGAGATAAGACTGAGAAAGAAAGTAACAAGAGTTGAAGACACAGCAATCAGAAAGAAAGAAAAAAAGGAGCTAGAAAAGACCAGTAATTTTGTATCAATCAGCAGTAACAAGATAGAAAATAGAATAGAAAAAAAATCCCTTTCATTATCCACAAAGCAAAAACTACACAAAAATTAACATAATAAAACAGTGTACTAGTTAAGACTCTCCTAACGAAATATTCAAACTATAAAAGAATATTTAAAAGGGCCAGAACAACTGCATAGCTGAGGAAGTATGTTTAAGGATGATAAGAAGGTTGGAAGAAGTTGGAGCTCTGATGAGAGTATGACCATAAAGAGGCAGTACAAGGGAGTTTCTTTAAGGCGATGGAACGTTTTTGTGCCCTGATTTTGGGGTGGTTACACAAATCTATACATGTAGTAAAATTTTATAGAACACACAAAAAGAATGCTTGTAAAACTGGTGAAATCCAAATAGTCTATGGCTAATAGTATTGCATCAGGGGCAATTTCCTCTGTGTGCACGCACGTGTGTTCTAATTTTCAATTCAGGGTGTACATGTGCAAGTTTGTTAGATGGGTATATTGTGTAATGCTGAGGTTTGGGTTTCTAGTGAACCCATCACTCAGTGAACACAGTACTCAATAGACAGTTTCTTAACCCTCGCCCACTTCTTCCCCTTTTTGGAGTCCCCAGGGTCAACTGTTTACATCTTTATGTCCAAGCATACCTATTGTTTAGCTCACATTTGTAAGTGAGAACATAGGTATTTAATTTTCTGTTTCTGTATTAATTCACTCAGGATAATGGCCTTCAGCTGCATCCATGTTGTTGCAAATGATATAATTTTATTTTATTTTTTTATGGCAGCATAGCTGGTTGAAGAGTATAAAGGAACTCTGGACTTTTTTTGGGCAACTTCTAAGTGAGCCTAAAATAAATCAAACTATAAAGTTTTCTAAAAATGGCACATGCTAAATGACTCATGCATCAATGAAGAAATCAAAAGAGAAATTAGTACTTTGAATTGGGGAAAAAAAAAGAAAACACAACATATCAAAATTTGTGGAATGCACTAAAGCAATCCTCAAAGAAAAAATTACTCCATGAAACTGTCTGCATTAGAAAGAAGAAAAGTTTCAAGTCAACAGCCTCAGCTTCTACTTTAAAAAACTAGAAACAAAAGAGCAAATAAAACCTAAAGTTAGCAAAGGAAAGGAAAGAATAAATTTGAGAGAACTGATGTGTTCAGAGGGAGCATGGCTTTGACATTTTAACTTCAAACTTTAGCCTTCAGAATTATAAAATAATACCTTTCTATTGTTTTAAGCCACCCAGATTTTGATACTTTCTTACTGCAGGCCAAGGAAAGTAATACAGCTTTAAGGATCACACTGCTGCTGTTTCTATTATATTATTTATATTAAGTGGAGTTATTAACAGTGGTCACATTTGAGGACTGGAGTTAGAGAAAGGAATTATTAAATTCACATACATATTTTATTTTAAAATGTTATTTTAAGAATAAATAAGTAAATTATATATTGTAAAATAGCTTCATGTTGTATTTTAAGGATAACTTAAATACTAAAAAATTAAAGTAACTTCTATACAATAAAAGAGTGTAACTGTCTGTAGAGTAAGTAAATAAGAGCAGTACCAACCAGTCAAATGAGTATAACTAAAACTTTAACACTGTTAAAAATGACATAATCTTTTCACTATTTTCTATTTGATAATTTATAACTTTTGCTGAAAAAGTAAATCAAATATTTTAATTTGTAGCTTGTGTTTAGAAAATAAATTTTTCTTTAAAAAAACGAAGGAAATAAAGGTGGAAGTCTTTGATGCCTTTCTGTTTTTCCTTTCCCAGTGCCTTCCATTCTCAATTCTGCTCACCATGTTACTCAAAACAGGCACCACTAATTACCTGATTTCAGTATAATCAAAATGCTAGAAGGAAATAAAGTACCTTTATGACATGTCTTAAGCCTTCCAAACCTTGATAGCATAAACCAAAAAGCATCCGAGACACGACTCAATCAACTTAGAATTTTATTTTGTCAAGCTTAAGGATGTGCCCGGAAGAAAGAAACATAAATCCACAGGAACAATCTATGGTTCATACCTTTTAAGAAAGATGACTCTCAGGGCTTCAGTATTTAAAGGTGGAGAGCAGACTGAAGGGGAAAGAGAGAGTATATGGTCAAATTACTGACTCCACATGTTGCAAGAGAAAAGGAGCAGGGCCGGGCGCGGTGGCTCACGCCTGTAATCTCAGCACTGTGGGAGGCCGAAGCGGGCGGATCATGAGGTCAGGAGATCGAGACCATCCTGGCTAACACGGTGAAACCCCGTCTCTACTAAAAATACAAAAAATTAGCCGGGCGTGGTGGTGCGTGCCTGTAGTCCCAGCTACTCGGAGGCTGAGGCAGGAGAATGGCGTGAACCCAGGAGGCGGAGCTTGCAGTGAGCCCAGATGGTGCCACTGCACTCCAGCCTGGGCGACAAAGCAAGACTCCGTCTCAAAAAAAAAAAAGAGAGAAAAGGAGCAGGTTGGGGAATAGTCAATCAGGTATTCCTCTCACGCTCAATAAATTGGCACTTTACATAAGGTGAACACAGAGTACCTACCTATGGAGATATCTGACCTTTTGTCTGTAGCTATTAGCTTAGGAACAAAAGCAAGCAGTTTCTTGCATGACTCAGTGTTCAGCTTACTTTTTTCCTTTTGGCATAGTGAATTGGGGTCCTGAGTTTTTTTTTTTCCCACAATAGGACAATCACAATGACAAATTTATAAATATAATATATAATTTTTCTTACCCTTTGTGAAATTCTTCATTTAAATTCCTAAAATTTTACAAGATTAAAATACATTTAGTAATAATCAATTTTTTAAATACAAAGATTCTAGAAAAGCTTAAGGTACATTATTAGCTATGGTAATTCATTCTGCTTGAAGAAGTTTAAGTAGTGACTTTTTTCAGCACCAAACTGAGATCTTCAGGACCATCCTTCCCTCCTTTCCTCTCCCTCTCTTCCTTCCTTCTTTTTCTCTTGTTCATTCTTTCATTCTTCCTCTTTTTTTTGAGGGGTTGGAGTAGAAGAATAGGCATACACAGTTGTGAGGTCTGGAATCTACTTCATATAAGGACAAGGAGCAACTCTGGATAAAAAGAGAGTAAAATACATGCTTTATTTGCCTGCAACTTGTGGGAAAGAGCATCAGAGGGCAGGAGAGGAACTTGGAAGGGGAAGTGAGAGAACACTGAAGATAAATCCTACCTCTTCTGTAGTTTTTTCACTAGGGTGGATACTCATGTACTGACAAGCAAGAATCATCTTTAGCAGACTCCACCTGAGTTAATGATCTGCTTTTATTTGTCACTGATTTTACTTTCCACAGGGTATCAGGATGAGAAACCTTCAAATCATGCATCACATTGAATCTCTTGGTGGCACAGGTAGCATGGAGGTGGCCCACAGCATCTGTGGTACAGGTAGGAGATTGCTAACCCTTGTTCAAGATGACATTGATGGGCAAACAGCCAGGACTATGCTTTTCTCTTGGAAGTGCCTACTCCACTTACTCTGAAAGGTTGACTCCTCACGATTCATTCAGATCTCTGCCTACATGTTACCTTCTCAAGTAGATCATTCCTGAACAGATTCCTACCCCCATCCCATATACTTTATTATTCTGTTACAGTACTCTATTAGTTTCCTACATAGTACTTAACATAATTTGTGCTTGTCTACTTTTTTGTTTACTTACATATTGACTAATACATTTATTTGTTTGTTACAATGTTTTTATAAGAGGAACGTCTTTTTAGCTCTGCAACATTTGCCTAGTGTTTATCACAGTACCTGGAGCATAGCAGTTCCTCAATAAATATCAGTGGAAAGAAGGAGTAATTTAAAATTTAAATTTAAAAAATCCAAACATGAGGCTGTAATTCTTACTGTGACTCTCAAAGATCCTGATTACTTGGTTTGGATTTTGATGGAGACGCAGAAAGAGAAGCAACATGTATTTCTGCCTCCAGATTAAGTAAATGTTGTAGAAGAAAGAAAACATTTATTACACCTAGCGGGCATATTTGATAACTCTTAATATTAAAATAGTTCCTGCTATCTCTTATATTTGTAATACTCCTGTTTATCTATTGCAAGTGTATATTAGTACTTACGGTATTTCAAGAAATATGTAGCACAGGAGATCCAATGAGATGCAAAACAAACCTGCCTCCTTCCTAAAACTGAAAACATGTTAGTAAACACTGACTTGGAGTTTTTTCATAATGGCATCTTAAGTTGTATTTTTTTATACATACTTTTTTGGCATACTTAGATACAAAGAGTATTCTTCAATTCCATAAAGAATTATGCTTTCTCCTCTTTTTCTTGAAATCTGTGTCTTTTTGGCTTGCGTTTTCTTACCTTTGGTAGAACCATGGGTGTCAAAACAGTTTACCTGTAATTTCACTATAAAAAAGTAACAACTGTGCAAATGCATGTAAGCAGCAACTGACATTTGGCCTCAGTGACAAGGTGACAACAGAGAATGCAGAACTTGGGAACCTGCAGAAAACATGCACCAAATAAAGGGCACATAACTTGCTACTCTATAATTTCAGTGTTTGTCAGAGTTCACGTTTTCAAGAGAGCTAGAAGTCTAGATTTCTTTTAACATGAAATGATCTGATTTTTAAAATGTTTGGGGGCTAAACTAAAAACCAACAAAGCATATGTGGCAACACTGTAGTAACAGGTCAACAAATAAGATGTTAAACCAGATTTAGCCCTCAAGATGACTGTTTCCTCCATCCTGTGTGGCACTTTTCATTTTCAGCAGAGAGAAACTTTGATCACTAACACTTGGGAATATTTAAGGGTAATAACGACTGTCTTGCCAGTTCCTTTCACAGACCATAACAGGTACTTAATATTAGTTGAGTGGACCCACTGAATGCGTAAGTCATTCACACGTTGTTACTGTGGTTCAAGAATTAGAACAAGTTAGTGTATATGAAGAGAGAAAATTGAAAAATAAAAATTATTTACATATTTTGTAACCATAACAGTTAACAACTTCAAGCACTTTCTCTATGCTAGGTATCATGCAAACACTTTATAAGGATCACCCCACCAATTCTTTATAATGATTCTATGTAGTAAGAGTATAGCTATCCTTTAACTTATCCAGAGCTGGTAAGCTGCAGAGTTAGTAAGAAAAAGAGATATAAAACAATTCTGACACCAAGGGCCATCTTTTAATTGTTATTATTTTATGTAAATTTGTATTGAGGAATAAAAATCCCACAATAAAGACCTAAGAAACAGGCAGTGTTTTGTTTTGAAAGATGACCATGGTTTTCAAGTAGATAATATAAAAGGACAGAAAATGGAAAATGAGAAATTTTGAAAACCATGGGGCCTATAGAGAAACTGTAGGTTCAGAAAGAAAATGCAAGGACCCAGAATAAGATGAAGGACTTGCCCTAAGGAAAATCAATGAAAAGCTGAACGCTCAGAATCAGGAAAAATGCTGTGTAGGATAGTTATTTCCAATCCTGGCTACATATTAGAGTCATTTTAGAGAGTTTTTTAAAAAGCATCTATGTGCTTGGTCCCAGCAGCAGACTTTTTTTGAGGGGAGAAAGACCAGGACATCAGTATTAGAAATAAGACTAACCAATACAAACTCTTCAGATGATTGTTAAGTGCAATCAGATTAAAATTTCTGCTTTAAATTACCCAGTAACATACAAACTGAACTAAGGGCTCTACAAAGTTGCCTCAAATTCTCTGAAGAGTGGCCAGGATTCCATGCTACTCACTCCCTTCAATCTCACCAGTTCATTTTTATCTGTTTCATATACCAGACTTCTGCATAAGATTTCACTTGAAAAAACAGTTCTGAATTAAAAATAATTCAAAACAGGTTTTTGATTTTCCCATTTCTCTCGGTTTATAATAGGTAATTGACATAAAGGGGCAAATACAGAGACTTCCACAAAACATGTTGACCTCAAGAACACATTGCGGTAGCTTTGGTCAGAGACAAGGTAGATACTTATGATGTTGATGGCACTGGAAACTAGAATGCTGCTTCAGTGCCACCCATGTTCTCCATAAATGTCCTAATCAGTAGTGGCTCTGAGAAAACAGAAAAGAGAATATGAAAAATGTATTATTTATCTTTCCAGTCTTTGAAACTTCTTTCAACTCTGTGAAGTTGCAGTGGATACTGAGTACCAATTTGCCATTAAATTCTTTCACACATAGGATTCTTTCCTGAAGCCACGTAAATTTTTAGAGAAAAGTAAAAGAAAAAAATATATCATGAAAGAAGAAGAAAAATAACTTAGCAAAAAGAATTTGGAAATTGGAAAATAGAAAACAAAACAGAGATTTAAAAATATTGCAACTGAAAATATCTGAAGAAAGTGTAATACAATATAAATTAAGAGACAGGCTAGAAAATTGAAAGGCCAAAAGAGAAAGTTCTATAAAATAGTTTCTTTCATTTACTGGTATCCAATTAGTGCAGAGGTTGCCATTGGGTAAAACATCATCACAAAGACAAGATTTGTCTTCTAATTACCATCAGCTGGTTTCATGTTACAGTTGAAAAATATTCAGGATAAATTATAGGACAATACTTCCATAATTGTATAATTTTTTTTTTTTTTTTTGAGACAGAGTCTCACTCTGTCACCCAGGCTGGAGTGCAGTGGCGCAATCTTGGCTCACTGCAACCTCCGCCTCCCGGGCTCATGCCATTCTCCTGCCTCAGTCTCCTGAGCAGCTGGGACTACAGGCGCCCACCACCACGCCCAGCTAATTTTTTTGTATTTTTAGTGGAGACGAGGTTTCACCGTGTTCGCCAGGATGGTCTCAATCTCCTGACCTCGTGATCCGCCCGCCTCGGCCTCCCAAAGTTCTGGGATTACAGGCGTAAGCCACCGCACCCTGCCCAAAATTGTATAATTTTAAGGCTAAAAGTGACTTTAAGTGTTCTTTTATCTGCCTTTATTATCACTAAATAGTCATCTAGTTCATGCTTGATTAAAATGTTTATTAAATGGCTTCTATGGGCTAAGCACAATACTACATAATGAGGACCCAAAGGCAAACGAGACAGATCTAGTTATTCTATGTTTCATTATATTCAAGTTCATGAAACAGATAGAAGGCAAGTAAAAGTATTAAAGGGGGGAATAAATAGGGTGCTTCCAATAGAGAATGAATGCTTAAGAATTGTGAATAATTCTAGACAGGGTGGTCAAGGGGTGATGGTGGATAAATATTTCCAGTGGTGAGAAAGCCCTATTTCCAAAAG